CATCACAAGAAAAGAAAGAATTATCTGGAGATTAAAGTTACAGCCTATGGCTCCAGAGATTCTCATTCTCTACTTTGTTGCAGACTGAAACAGAAGGCAATTTTTATCTAGTCAAAGTCTCTGTTTTGCACCATAAAATGGAAGCAATACCAGTCACCTTCGTCACAGGAAATTTTCATTTGTTACTATATGTAGGAATACATAAGTACACAGATACATCATACAGGATTGTTTGCTTAGAGAATAGCTTGAGCATAAAACCAGCAAAAAACACTGGTCTTAGGCTTTCTGTTAAATAATACAACTGTTTTCTCTCAATTGGTTTAGCATCCTGTAGACCAAAAATATTTCCTTTTTTTCATGCTTGGGAGACCAAGAATCAGACGATAATACCCAAGAGTAACATGGGGCTTGGTCCATATAAATTAATTTCTCCTACTGACTGGCTGTTCATATGAAAATATTTGTTTTACCATTGCTCAGTACTTCTCAATATATTTAAAATATTTAAACTCCGTCCTCCTATTTAAATTTACTTATTTCCTTTAAGATGTACATTAATAAACTAACCCATCCTTCCTCACCATCAGAGTGATTACAAGTATCCGACCATTGCACACATACACAGTAAATAACTCTTACCTGAATATATTTCTCCAGGATCACTTACACATGCTACTTATACTGCATACATACATATAGATATATATAACATATATATATTCTCCCCCACAAAAATACATATATGCACATAAAGGCAAGTGCCAAGATTGAACACTTTTGTTCTACTAATACTGTTCTTCAGCACAGTCCAGGGGTCAGGTGCCCAAGACTGCCCTGTACCTGTGTGCTGGCAGACACACAAAAGAACATCACAGATTATTTAGTGATACACCTCAGAGAACTGCAGGAAGATAGGGAAATTAAATCCATCTTTTTCCCATAAAAGAGTTCTCCATTGTCTGAAACTCCAAAAAATCATTTCAGACTCTTCTAACGTCCTTCTACAGTGTCCTACAGCTCCAACAAGCAGAGCAGCATATCGACAAGGCAATCACACCTAAGGGGAGCATTTATTTAAACTCTGAAATCCTCAAAACTAATACATGCTCTGGAAATTTGACTTTCTCCATAATACTAGTATAGGTAGCTTGACAGAACCAACTGAATGTTAATAAACCAGATGGACTTTCAAATATCCAACACACAAAAACCAGCCCAGTGGACATGTCATGCAGATAAAATCCCTCACAGTGGTATTTTCAAGCAGTAAATGGGATATAAATTCTCAAATAGAAGACTAAAGATGTCATATGTGAATAATCTATGAAGGACTGACTCAGCCCTCCTGACAATAACAGATTCAAAGCAGAATTATCCTCAAAATCACATTGGAGATTTTCAGGAAAGAGTTGAGGAGTAAAAATTGGGAACACTTGCATTCTTCTTTCCTCTTCTGAATCTATTATAGATGAATGTCAGTCTTCAGCAAATCAATCATAGCACCATTCATGGGCTTTAGATTGATATAAGAACACCTAAAAGTTATTTTTAAAGGGCAACGTGGAGTCAAGCTCTGCAGGTTATACCACGGAAAATAAAGACAAAAATGAAATGCCTATACCACAAGGGAGAATATTTATGCTGGCTGATGCTTCATCTTTCTTTTGGCAATAGGACAAAAGAGATGAAAGAATATCTAAGTTTATATTATTTCTGTTAGTTCATATGAAAGTGTCTTCATTGTTATCTATAGATCGTTAACAACATTGAGTTCATGATCATTAGTTTTATAAACAACCTCATTTAAGTTATTTATCATGAGCACTGGGGAACATCAGAAATGTCTTAATGTTGAAAGTGACTTTGGATTTGGTGTACTTGCATTTCAGATGAATGGAGATACAATGAATCTTATTTGAAATATTCTACAATATTACTCTAAAAATGATCTTGCAGACCATACTCCATCTGTATGCTGCTCAGCCTACAGCAGAATGAAATAACACAAGACAAAGTCACAGATCTTATGTATAGACACTAGTTTACAGTCACATCCCCACATGTACTCCAACTCACCACCCCCAGCATATAAGAGGAAATATTACAAATAATTACTGTATAGTCATTTTTTTTCATCTTTACAGTTTGGGAGGACTATAATAAAAACCTGGGGCACTGCAAAACAGAAACTGGCTGCCTGGACAACCGTCAGGTTGATGAGATGAGGGGTCGACCTATTCCTGGCACAGTGAAGGATCTGAATATCAGAGGTTTTATAAGAAGATGTGAGGAAAATCTATTTCAGACTACTTTCAAGTACCTTTTCAGAACATTCTCAGGCAGGCTGGGATATGAAAGGTCAGCGTGCAAAGGGGAAGGGATCTAGGAAAGCATGGTCAAGTCTACGAGGGAGGCCAGGAGAACAGGCAGCCTACCAGCATGCTGCATCGTGTGGGATCCCCTCCAGCGACCTCTGCACCGCCTCGCTGCTGTGCATGGAGATTTCTCAGTGTCATTTGTCTCAAATCTGTTTTCACTAATGCCTTGGGTAACTGAACAGAGGATGGCATCAGACTAAGAGGGGCTGTAAGTCATGTAAGTCTGTATCAGAATTTTAAAGCATTTTGAAAATCAATTTTATCATATTTAATAGAGATGAATGGAAAATACAATACTTGTGAAGGAGAAATAAAACACGCACACACAAAAGTAGAAGAACTAACCAGACAACAACAAAGAGAATATATTGGATCTCAGCTTGAATACGAAAAAAATACTGAGGAGGAAAAACCACCTCATTCTTGTATGCTGAGAGTGTCGCAAGCAGTTCACAGTATGTTATCCTTCTAATCTGCTGGGTGCTGTTGAGGCCTCTGAGGGACCGCTACCTGCTTTTGGATATGGTATTTTGAGAGAATTTACACAAATTGGAGTGTGGAGAACAGACTGAAAGAAAAGGGAAGAGGTTGGGAAAATCTAAGGTTCAAATAATTGGCTTTGTTGAGGTTAGATTAAGAACAGTCTATATGGTGTCACAGAGAAAGGTATTCACACATTCCGTCATAGTTAATAAAAAGCTAAAATTCTCCCCAAGACCACTCCCTGCCCTGCCACCCTCCATTCATACACATGTCTGTAAGTCAATGGAAAGTATTCTTATCACTTAGATGTGGCATGCAAATATTGCACTCTCTTCAAACATGTATAATAGACTACAATGCAATTAAAGAAAGCAGACCAAAAATTTATAAAAATCTCTACTGATTTTTTTTATAACAGACACATTTGCTGGAAAAGACATTATTAACTGAATGCAGTTAAGGTATAGTAAATTCACTTGGAGAAAAATCACAAGACTTTTCAATAAAAAGACAAAATAGCAACACTCTTAAGACAGCAGGTGGTAAAAACGAGATACAGGAATGTTCCCCCATATAAAGAAATAAACAAAACAGAGCTGTGCGATTTTACTGCTCTTTTCCAGCAGAAAAACATCCCTAAAGGACTCAGAAAATAGGCTCCTAAATTCGCTCATATGGAGTACCAGAGATTGATAGGGAAACTTTGAAATACATTACTCAGAAAAAATAGGAAAGGGATGGTGCTAAGTCTTAAAGAGCAGATTTTTTGCTTGAGAGTATCAATGCAATCTGTGGGAAAGCTGTGAAATAGGGTGGACCACCAATCGATCCAGGATATTCCATTAAATCAAGTAGTATACATCTGAGCAATTTGCTCCTGAATACTTAGTGAGACATCCTTCAAAAGCACTAAGAACCTGTCAGCGGGGCGTAGAAACCCAAGTCACTTTTGAAAGAAGGGACTATGTGTGTTTAAAGTACCACCCATAGGAAAAATTTGAAACGTCTCTTGTGAAAACTGGAGGTAAAAGCCTGACGAGCCTACAGGGAGGTCATGGCTGCCGGATACCTCTGCAAAGCAGTATCCAGTATTTTTATCATAAGCGATTCTAATTCTTGCTCTCAGCTGAGGAGACTGGCAGGATGAATGACCAACTGGTACTTCTGCCAGCGACAGATAAGGCCGTGCCGGCTCAAAAGGGAAGTTTGTTCTTCTGTGCTGGCGCCTCTCACCACGTACAAATTCACTAGACAGAAGAGAGGAATGCAGTACAGACCTCTGTAAGTCGTGTTTCCACAGTCACGGCACGATCTGCGGTCGAGTGGCATGTGGTTTAGTGAGACTTGACAGTGTTAGGTTTATGGTTGGACTCAATGATCTTAAAGGTCTTTTCCAACCTAAATGATTCTATCATTTCAGCATCTCATCAGTAAGAACAGGACCCACCTCAGGGACAGCCAGAAATGTTTTCTGCAAGGTCCTCACTCTATTCCATGGGTGCCTGTGCAGCCCCCTGCCCCTAAAATCCTTTATTCTGCCAGTGGAAATTGTGCTTGCCTACAACTGGCAAAGCCTCGCTAAGCCAGAGTTCATCTTTTCTGAACTAGATCACTACTTCACAACCAGCCTAGGAGCAATAGCTGGATTATAACATAAAGATGTGAGGAGCGTGGTTAGATCCAGAATCTGAACAAATGCATCCACAAATCAAAGATAGTTGGGGCATTCATACGATAGTTACAAAAAGGCCCTGTCCATCACGGAAGAGAAAGCAGGAGACAGAGGCCTGGAGCCTCCTCCACCTTTGCATGGCAATGCTCAGCTCACAGCGTCACAGTACACAGCTGCATGTACTGAAATTCCAGCGCCGCAAAGGCATCTGAAGTGATGCTGAAAGGGTAATAACCCTGTGCAATGCTATCAGTAATCCTTCCCAGAGGTTAACAGCGGGAGGCAAGTAGGTTGAGGCGTTTATAAAAGGAGACTGTGAAAGGCAGAATCAACAGCAGAGTTGGCCTTTTAGTCAGCGCTTGCTTTTAGCAGCTACATTATCAGATGAGAATGAGAGAGGCGTGAGCAAAGCCTGGGGAGGAAGGAGAGGGGAGAACTGTGAAAAGAGAAGACAAAACGCCTACCTGACAGGTGCTCCCCGGGACTGAGCGGGCTTCAGCATAACGGTGATGGTAGTGTCGGTCTCATTCAGGGGGGAGTCCGTGTCGTATTCCGGCATCGATGGTGCTACAGCAGAACAAAGAGCAACACGTTAGTTATAGACCAGTTACTGCCTTTGGTAGCGATGGCAACGTAATATTAACATTTTTTGGAGACCGTTTAACATTTTTCAAATGAAACATCAAAATACTTCCCAATGTTATGACCAAAATTGTCAAAACTGTTTAAATATTTGTACACTCTTTGCCTATTAAAATTAAACAGGAATCGGACACCCAAATCTTCAAGCTGGCTTTGAAAATCCTGTCTTGAATTTTTAAGACTTAGTAATCCTTTGAGATGGGATCATTCCTTCAGTTTTAAAGGTAAAGAAAGAAAACTGTGTGGACATTACAAAAGACCACTTAGGATGAGTGAATCAGTGGCAGAGCTAAGAATAGCACCCAGGAAACCTGGCTCTTGCTCACTGTTCTGGTCATCAGATTAGTCTTCCCACATCTTAGATAGAGTTTTTAACACATAGACTTAAGCTGTGTCTCCTTGATTAGCTGGAGGGCGTGTTATGAAGCATGAAAGATGAAAAGAGAGGAGCACAAATTAGCCAGGTTATTTTAGCACTCAAACCCATGACATTTTACCCCAGTGCTTTAGTGATGATGAATCAACAGGCAGCTGCACGGCTTCCAATGGCGCACTCAGGCAGCACCCAGCCAGGGCAGCCCCATCGCTTCGCTGACGTGCTCCCCAAAGCAAGACAGAAAACCACTGAATATTCACATTTAGCCAAAGTCTAGTTTTGACTTCTGCTTTGTTATCTTCTATTAGGATCGTTTTGCGAAAGTGGGATAGCTTTCCTTAGGAAACTTATTTTACTTATTACATTACTTCTGCCTTCCCCAATAGCAGACATCTGTTTGGGACAATTTTTACTGTGGAAGAACTGAAGAGATCACGAGATCAGAGCAGCATCAAATTCATTCTGAAGATGCAAGTTGTGTTGAAATATTTTTAAAGCATAAAAGCAAAGAGAAGAATTCACACCAATAGTTCATCTGTAACTCACAAGGGCAAGCTGTATTACGGGGGGTCCCATATTTAATCCTCTCACAGTGATTTCTGCTGTAATCCTGTTTACAATCAGGATTTTTATCTAAATGCCTGAAAACTGTCAAGAATGGTGGTTGCTATTATCAGCTCAGCTACTGACTTCCCTGTCAGTAAGCTAGCAATGTGTTCAGAATGAGTGCCAATTCCTTAACGAGGAGTTTTCTGAAAAAGGTGCTGTGCATCAAGGGGAAGCAGTGTGAGTCATTTAAAGAAGATGTGTGTCACCAGCAGTCTTCTATACCAGAGATCACCGCAGTTGCTGGAGATGCACACAGCAAGAATCGTTCAGCACCTGTGCTGCCCAGACAGGATGGTGCTACAGCACAACACAGCACTACAAAAAGGTTGCAGGGCCGGTGTGGACACCAGAAACAGGCTGGGCTCTGCCTTTGCAGGCTCCATCATCCTGCTTTGAAGCAGCTTCTTCTAGCCAAGCTGCAGTGCTGCACTGGTGCCACTAAATTGTTTCTGATGTGTTAGCTAGCTCGGATGTCTCCTTCTGGCTGCGCACAAGACCTGTTTTGTTATCTTCTGTGTAAAACACTGCACCTGCCACAGCGAATTTACAGTCTTACTTTCAGACACCATATAGTTAAGAAGTAAATGCAAGAAACATAGGTCTTGGCAGGACTAGCTAATGGTATCGGGTGTAATTCAGTGAACAGAGTCTGTATTAGTCACAAGGCACTGAAATAAGATACAGTAGTTCTCTTGTGTACTCAACACAGAAAAGTTGTGTAGTACCTCAATAAAACTACAGTTGGCACCGATCTCTCTAAAATAGCAAGCACTGCTCATCTATTCAATGCCTGTTTTGCAAGATCCCAGTCCTGCCCAAAGAGAAGTCCTCAGGAATTCTGCCATTTAATTCTGATTAAGACATAAACAAGCGTGTCCACCCATATAAACATATACACTCACACATTGCTACAGCATAGATGTGTTTTCGTTTTAAAATATATATAGTCTTACCAAGGACATTCCAGTCAATGCAAAAATCCTTCTTCTCCCTACTAACCTTGGGACTGCATCTTAGAGGAGGTTTAACAGTAATTTCCACATTACAGGTATAGGACTGACCATGCAATGAGATAATCTAATGTCAGAGACTACTCTAATGCCTGCATGGAGTCTGTGCACTACCTAGTGCGAACCAGATGGTTGGAAGATGAAAAAAAAAAAAGACAATAAACCAAGCTCAGTGTGCATACAGTTAACAATCATGCAGGCTTTTGACACAATTTGAACACTCACTGAATAATAAAATGCAAAGAAACTGAATCAGGGGGAAAAAGCACTACCATCACTGTGTTATTTGATTTTTCTGGTCACAAGTGAATAGAGCGCATGCCGTGCCTTCCCTTCACAGCAGGGCTGCATAAACCCTAACTGTCCGTGGAGCTGTTATGACAGTTAATGGCTTTACTTCAAGTGGTTGAGACGCGGGCTTTTGCACTAAATGTTAAGGGTTCAAACCCTGCTGATGGTTAGTGGAGGGAACGGATACATTTTACTTCCTTAAAATTTACACTGTCACTTACTGCTAACAACTGATTTCTATTAAGCAATTCTGAAATAGGGCAATGGAAAATATGCACTGTTGTGCACCCTTTTCTATGGCATCCAGCCATACTTTCAAGCATTACAAGTGTCCTGAACATCCCAAACATTTATTTTGGCTTTACTGAAAAAACAGTTAAGGTATTCCAAAAAATGACAGTTTTAAACTGTGTTAGAGAACCTATTTTAGTGCTATCAATTAAATGCTAAAATTAAAGTCTACATATGTCTGCCTAATATCCTCTCTACTATCCCTTCATCCATCTTTTTTTCTGATAGCTGGCCTAAGTTTCCTTTTTTTTTCTAGAGACACATGCACCTTCTCTTTGCAATGCCTCCTGATTTTAGTGCCTTTCATACACTTGTCTGCCTACCTCACGCCCTCCCTCTGCCCTAACTCAGAAAAAACCCATAAAAACAGCTTTCCTCCTTTATTTTTAGTCTCCTTGCACTATTAATTCAACTACTTCATTACATCCATTTTGGTGCAATCTGAAAATAAAAGCCACATTATTGAAGGAGATTCCCCAGCCACACAGATAATACTAACAATAATTATAGGGATAGTTCATTTGTAGAACTAATGAAGGTTCTCATTCAAAATGTTTCACAAAGATATTCACAGATAGTTAAGATACCCACAATTAGCCACCACATTTGTAACTCAAACAAACACAGATACTGGATTGTGGCCATTTTAAAAATTTGCCCTGTGAAACTTGTAGAGGAGACGCTAAGCTGAATACCTTTTTATTGTTTCATGCATCAGCTGTGGGTCTAAAGAACAAAGCCCTAGAAAGTTCTTTTTTCTTTTTTCTTCTTCTCCAAAGCAATACCTGAAATCTTAGTTGCAATCCGTGTTGTGATGGGTGGCCCAAAGCCCTTGACTGTGCTGGCTTTGATGGTGAATGAATACGTAGTCCCTGGGTATAATCCTACAAAGAGGTGATGCGTTTCATTCCTTAGTTTGAAGACTTTCCCTCTTTGGCTGGACAGGTCAGCACTGGGATCCAGAGACCCAACGGCCTTGTATGTAATCTGCAAATGAAGAACAAGGAAAGTAAGGTGATAAGGGGCCTTCTGCACCTGGCCTTTCTCTGCTCCCTGATTTTGCCATCTCTTGAGACTAGACATTGAAAAGGACAGGTATTATTTCAGTATCTCTAGTGAGCAGTTCTGTATTTGGATGCTGGCAAACAAACATGACAATTTTTCCAAGGCTTTACTTAGGAAAAAACTAATTTCTTCTCTCCACTAAAACCTCAGCATGTGCTGATTTACAACAAAAGACACAAAGAATTGCTTTTTGTTCCGAGTCACAGAACTTCTGCAGCCAAACCAGAGCACACAGCACGACTGGCAGAATTTTTATTAGAATATCCCACACAATCCCCCACAGCATACGAAAACTTTTGGTGCAAACAGGGATACATTTTCCATCAAGTATTTTTTGCCTTCTGGCAAATGGTCTTCTCAAAAGGCCGCTGAAAACAATGGGAGCCTTTTACTGACAACAAAGGTTTTGGAAGGTGCTAAAATGAATATGTTGAAATGAAACGGTATGTTTAAATGAAATAAATATCATCAAGTCTTTAGACAAAAGCCCTTCTCTTCTCTGAGCTTGTAAGCCAGCTTCTGGTATCATCTCCCTCTGCCTGTTTTTAGCCTCAGTTTGCAGGTTTACATGTGGTACCATGCCTGGATTTTGCCTGAGAGAATAAGGCAGCAGGGTTACAGACCTGGAGAGCTGATCATGAATACACCCGCTGCTGGTGCTAACACACCTTTAGAGGCATCCAAGCTGAAAGCACACCTTTGAAATTCTGCTCGAGCTCCATTATGCTTACCCATGGCAACCCTGTTGATACACAGACACTTGCAAGTGAAACTCATGACTTATTTACCAGCCAATTCCTTCCCTGCGTTCCAAATTCAATCCAAAGGCAGCTCAATTTCAACTGAGCTGTCAATATAATATAACATGCTCCACTGCCCTCCTAACCTTTCCTGATATTATGGGATCCTTGCTTATTTGTAATGAAACACTATGAATAAATCAATGTATGTTAATACACGAAGTCTTCAATTTTTTATAAAGGACTCCACAAGAATCTAATTCCCAGCTTTGCTGAAAGAGCCTTTGAAAATTTTTAAGTCGCTTACTTTACGACAGGAGGCAAATGTTGCATTTGAGAAAAAAATAAATGTACAATGCTTAAAAAGGGGGGATTTAATAATAACAGGATAAATAAGAGACAGAGGCTGATGCTACTGACACCAGAGAAGGGTGTGAGTGTGTGAATCCTATTATTTGGACAGAGAAGAACAATTTAGACAGAGCTGACACCCAAGACGAGGCAGTGTAACAGAGAAGGGCCGTGAATTACACCCAGGCCCATGGAGCAGCAAGAAATTACAAAAGCAGAACTCTTAAAGGAATTATAATCAAACAGCTTGCAGGGGTTTTCACTGAAAACCTACTAATTTTTCCATGAATTACAACCTGGTTTAAAATTTTTATTACTTGCCAGAAACCTGAGAAAGAGGGAGATCTTGGCACAATGGTCATTAAAACAAAAGAATCAAATGCAGGGAGGAGAAACCTTTACACGCGCTCCTTTTCCTTAGGTAGGTGAGGACCATGCAATGCAGCATGGCACGAGACAATATTTTGACAGTTCTTATTGCATTGAGGTACTTTCAAGGCAAGAGAATCTGGGTAAAAACACCATCAGAGTTAGAGTGACCAAAGACCGTAAACTAAGAGACATGACCCAGTCAACACCATAACTAAATCCAGAAAGAAAAATTTATTTAGTCTATTAGGTAGGAATGAACCGATGCAGTCTGTATGCTCTATTTGCAAATCAAGTGCTAGAGAAATAGCAATTCTATAAAATTCCAAAGGGGAATCAGCAAAACAGGAGTTTGAGAAAAAGAAAGAGAACTTCCTGCTGCTGGGCCACTGAAAACCACATTTGCAGGATGCCCAGGTCGTCGCCTATGTGAAATCAGTGGCATCTACTGCACATTATGCAGAAGGCTAAGTGGAAGATACACTTGTCCTTGATCTCCATATAAATAAAAGTATTCAGCTACCTTCGTCAGTTCTAAAATCATTACAAAAAGAGTTATTTTTCTTCATTAAAAAAACCTATTCCCTTAAGGCAAATAGAGCTAGAAAAGCTTTCAAGAGAAAGAAAAAAAAAGTCAGTGATTTAAAAAAACCCACAGTCTGTCTTTTTTCTGTTGACTATAGCAGAGAATATGAGAACAAGGGACCTGGGTCAACTCACAAGAAGTGAGGAAGGAGAAAACTATACTTGATAGAGAGTACGTCCATGATTTGAGATTGTAGCGTGTAACTTTTTTTTAGGATATATAAACTACAGTAAAGAGAGATTCACAGCATGGCCAAACCACGGGATTATTGTTTCTGCAGCAGACTCTCTATTCCAACAGATATGAACCCCATTAAACCAGGTGATGTGCAGACATTCAGAGAAAGCAATCCTTGTCCCCAGAACATAACATTTAACTTTAATACACAAACAGTACCTGGATGCAACACAGAGAAAAGGAAAACAATAGTACCAGTTTGTGCACATGGTCCAGTTTCATCCAGTCCATAAGCAGAAATATTTAAGGAACTGGTAAGCAAAATGGTGTCAGCGGATACAGCCCATTACCAGCTTATTGCTCGTATCAGAGTTGGTCTCAAACTCTTCTCTGCTTTCCACAAGAAGAGCTCTGAATGACGAGGAAAGCATATACGGACACTGCCAGGGGAGCCTAGGGGCTGTTTACCCACCTCTGCTGATGACTCTCCTCATGACCGCGATAAGCCGATGTTCAACGAGTCTCCATTTTGCCATTTATAAAATGAGGGCTATTACACTCCTCTACACAAACATTTTTGTGGTTGAGGGATTCTATGGATTTCTGTAATTGCTGAGTGCTGATGGTTAAGCAGCAAAACCACAGGTGAAACAGATGAAGTAGCCCTGAAAACAGAGCCCTTTATTTGGAAAAGGAGACAAATTCTCTTCCGGCTCAGAAAAAAAAAGAATCATTTTCCCTTCCAAGTAAGATATCTGCTGTTTCTTAGATATTAGTGCTACCTCAAGTGTGGATTAACAGCTGAGAGATCTGTCTCAGTCTGTTCCTCTATAGGCCTCCCAATACAGCTAAAGCAACTGCAGCTACAGTTAGAGCTCTTCTGGCCAGCAGAGTCTCCTGGAGCACTGGCTGCTCCCTGCTGACCTGCCACCCATCCATACTCTTCAAGGCATAGGCTCCCCATCCAGGTCAGCAACATTTCTCATAGCCAGGATCATCTCCATTTACTGAAGTTTTTGGTATCTCCTTAGCGGAGTATCTGGAAGAATGCTACAGCGTATGTGTGTATGCATGTCTTTGTGTCAGGGGATTTCTCCTATAGACAGAGATGCTGTAGTATATTGCTTATCTATTGGTTTTCATCTAAGAAGCTAAGAAGTTGCCACTCTTCGCCTTAATTGATTTAAACTAAAAGTTCTGAAGGAAAAGAAATTTCAGGGAATCAGACACTGAAAAATTTTCACGAAGAAAATGGAAATTTCCAACTCTGGAGTAATTTATAAATGCACAGGAACATGGCTGGAGAAGAAATACGGCACTTTCCTAGAATAAGAAGGATGCTGAAAAAGCCACCTGCTCTTCTAGTTGGTATGCTGAGTATTTATCTTAATTTCTTGTTCCAAGTGTCAAACCATTTCATTACAAAACAAACAAGAGAGACTAATCTAGAAAATGAGATGACTCAATCACTAGAAAGCAGCTGTTCTAAGTTATTTTAAAATAATCTATTTTAACAACAAGCCATGTCATATAATACTTCTGTATTCTAAAAAAAAGAAACAATAATATTAAACGTTTAAAAACCTAGACAGAAAACAAACAAGAAAATACTCAAAAATATATTTAAGAATTTCACTCTGATTGAAAATATTGAAAATATTCGGTTTTACTCTGATGCAGAATAAATGCAAATACAAAGATGAGGAAATTTCTCACGAGACTGAAACCCTATGTTTTTCAACCAGCTCCCTCGTTACCTCCTGCACAGCAGGCAGCTGTCATAAGTTGAAAGTTGTCTTTCCTCTGCAAACTGGAATGGATGTCCTGAGTTTGCATATGTAACTTAGAGTTTACATATCAGCTCCAGGGCAAGTTGATGGTCCCAAGCAAGTTTTAGCGTCCAACACTGCTATGGTTCTAATCACAGCAAACACCAGCGCAGGCTAAAATATAGCAAAACCAAGAAATATACACTAATAAATCCTAATTTTTCCTTGGAACCTCCTTCATTGAGTTAATGAAATGGTTCTTAAACTGAAGGAACAGCAGCCATAAATTTGAAGTGATCAGAAAGTCAGATGGCACAGGAACTCAGAAAGATAAAGAGTAGCCACATTCCCACCAGAACAGAGGGACAAAACACTGAGTGCCCAGCATCCACCCAGCTGGACAGGAATGATGTACTCATGAGGTGCACAGGCGATTCAAGTCCCTGGTCAACTGTGCAAAATTTGGCTACATGAGTCCAAATTCTTTGTAAGATGTCAAACAAGTCAACAGCACGAGCTCAAATCTACTGGAAACTACCAAAAAGGCTTTATATATTTAATATCCAAGTGTTCAGTGATATATAATTGCTGCGATAGGCTATGGAGAACAAAATAAAAACAGATCAGCGTAAGAAATGGGATGGTTAGTAAGTTCACCCCTTATTGGTATTTAAGCAGACATCCGGTCTATGCCAGTGCACTCCCAGTCCCCATTAACCAGAAGAATCCCCTCTTATTCCATCCTCCCCTCTGGTTTTTATCCATTTTAAAAGTTCAGAGTATTAACTCCTTGAAATCACTAAGCAAATGCTATGTTAACAACGACAAAGATGAAGATAGAATATTGAGAGGATAAGCACAGCTCTTCTCCCCTTCACAGAGCCTAATTTAACACAATTTTCTAGGGAAACGTGAATGCTTTGCTAACTG